ATAGACATTGCAGTTGCCGTACATCAAATGATGATGTGCACTTCGCCCCCTGAACCAGAAAGATCCACCATAAACCCTCAACGCTGAATCCCATACCCAAAGCCCAGAAGGCGTACACCCGACTGAACCCGGACCTACTCCTTGGCCCGCACCCGCTCTGATCTCCAAGCTCTACTCAGGGGACTACTAAGCAGGATTATGCAGTTAGGCAGGAGCCACCAAGCCCTAAACCCTAAACCCCACGCCCTACACACCATAAACCCTAAACCCAAAGCCCCACACCCTAAACCGGGGTGCCTCTAAGAGGCAACTACCGACAGTGGCAGCGCTGAAGCGAAGCGCGGGTAGTGAGGCCATTTACGGGCTTAGGGTTCAAACATAGGTTAAGTTAAGACTTGAGCTATTCAGGGGTCGTGGAGTGTGCGAATTACAGGGCTTTGAAGCGCTCTGTCAGATCTTCCAAGATTTTGTTCACAAGACTTGTCAGTGTGCTCGGCAAGGCCTCTAGACTCTAAGTGACAGAACCGACTCAGACTGCTAGGCGCAACAACTTCAGATAAGGTGGTGTTAGCTTAGCTCTTGCGCATTTGAGCATGTATACAATACGGTTCAACTCTGCGTTTTCAAGTTCTGGCACGACGTTGGCATCAGCTGACCGTGGTGGTCACCTGAACCATAACTTTGGCGTCTGCTCCTGCCAGAGATCACCCCTCAGTGTGTGCAAGTCTCATAAATCTCAGGGCTTTGGAAGGCACTGTCTAAGGCACTGTGCCCGCTTTACATCCGCCCTGCACGCAGGAGACGAGCCTGAAATAAGGGTCTTGTTTGAAGGGCCAGGGAACTTATTAGTGACTGGCTTGTAGTAGTGCCATCAAAAAAGGTCTAATGCTATAGTTCGGATAACCATCCTATCCGTGGCACTTGTACTTGCTCTGGCTCTACTTACAACCTACTAACTAACCACGCCCCCTGGTCCTCCAAGCCGAGGTTTGGCTTTCCTTGGTGATCGTCGTCGTACCCAGCCACACTTTGTGGTGGCGTGGGCAGGTTCCGACGTCCCCAGAAAACTTGGAAAAACTTCTGAGTGCATGAGATATCCGGCACCCTCCCATCACGGCCGGCAGTATGTAGCCAAGGAGACACATGCAGAATTGGGTACAAGAACCTAAGATCCCCACAGGCTCCGTGTACTTTCATAGTAGATACTTAGGCCTTAAAGTACCTATATAGGGACCCTTTTAAGGCCTAAGTAGCTACTATAAAGGCACATGGAGCCTTTGGGATCATTGTTAAACCCTAAACCCTCTGATCCGGAGCCCGGCGGTTCTGGCAAGGTTCAGACACCTCGTGCGCGAGAAGTGTGATGTTTTAAGGTACAAAGAAGCACTTTGGGCTGGCGCAGTCCATCGAAGGGATTCCTCTAGACTCCAAGTGCATGCATCTACTTGGACACCTACTTCGGCGACGAAATCTATGTGCGGTACACCCATTATGGTACCTACTTCGGGCGAATGGGAGTCTAATGGGAATTTTGGGGCTTGGGCGGCGGTCTTAGACCGGCCGCTTCCAGGATTGGTCGACAGAGCTGCCACCGCCTTTGGCCACGGAGCTGGGGCCACCGCGGGTGTGCGTTCCGGTGTAGGTGCTCTTGTCATAGAAGAAGCCTATAGGCTCTTCAGGAACCCCCTGAAAAAACACATATATACTGTTTAAGGTTACTTGTAATATACTAGGAACCCAGGAATCCCAGGAACCCAAAAAGTAAAAAACGTATGCTATTGAGCAGCCTAGAAGCGCTCAGGCCCGACGAGCCGGCCGGTGCCCGGTCCCTTGGATCCGGGACGTCCGCGAGAGCTGGGTCGAGAAGCATTGGCGAGTCGAGGAGTCGTAGCCTTCTCTGCGCTCGTTCGCAAGGGGCTGGGAGGACGAGCTCCCTGGCCTTGGGAGAGCAAGGTGACGCGGGCGAGGTGATCCTTGTCCTCAGCCGAATCAATGGAGGGCCTCTTCCATGACTGATCGATGGAGCTTCCACCGCCTTTAGCCACACGCTCCGGGCCACCGTTAACGTGCGTGCCCGTGTAGGTGCTCTTGTCGTAGAAGAAGCGCTCTGGCCCCACCGCAACGCGCCCTGGCTTTCCTGAGACAACGGCAGCATCCTCGGTCGAATCTATTGAGGGCCTCTTCCACGTCTGATCGACCGAGCTGCCGCCACCTTTAGCCACGCGCTCCGGGCCGCCGTTAACATGCGTGCCCGTGTAAGTGCTCTTATCGTAAAAGAACCGCTCTGGTCCCACCGCTGCGCGAGCTGGTCTGCCGGAGCCCACAGCGGCGTCCCCAGTCGAATCTATTGAGGGCCTCTTCCACGATTGATCGACGGAGCTGCCGCCGCCTTTGGCCACGCGCTCCGGGCCGCCGTTGCTGTGCGTTCCGGTGTAGGTGCTCTTGTCGTAGAAGAACCGCTCTGGTCCCACTGGAACGCGACCGGGACGCCCAACTTGAGCCATTGAATCCGAACCTAGAGACTCTATACAACGCTCTCGAAAAGGGCTCTGGTATTCTATCTCCAGGCTGTGAGTATGCAATCAAACACTGCCGGAACTGGAGCATGCAGCACGTTCTTTGTCAGCCATTGAAGAACTGTTCAAATTCTGTACAACCCTGCTAAAGCCTATATGGCTGTATTATGCTTACAACCCTACAAGCCCCTTCTGCAAAGCTGGTAAAAACCCTCGAAAACCATGAAACAACCCCCGTGAAAAAAAAACACCCTAAACCCTAAACCCTCAACTATAATATAATGTAGGGGCCTGAATATTTAGAATCGGGTTTTGGGGGTTCCTTACTATAGCTATAGTAGAATATACCCCCAAACCCTATTCTAATTAGGAAGGCCCCTACCCTAAACCCTAAACCCTAAACCACAAAAGCGAACTACTTAGGGGCCTATGGGTACCTCACCCTAAACCCTAAACCCCTAAACCCTAGGCCCTAAATCCTAAACCCCTATACTCCCAAACCCTATTCTAATTATTAAGGCTCCTACAATACTGTTGATGATAGAAATTCTGCATTACCTTAAGCACCCTATACTATGGGAATTATGGTATATTCTTTATTATGGGTAATGCAGGATTTATATCATCAACCGTACCTCAGCGGGCGAGGTGCAGCGCCCGGTGGATGCACTCCAGACCTTCACGGATTCATTGCTCAGCGAGAGAAACCTGGCCACGAGAAGGGTTTAGGGTTTAGGGTTGTAGGGGTTTAGAGGTTTAGGGGTTTAGGGTTTTAGGGTTTAGGGTTTAGGGAGAAATCTGGCAAGAGAAGGATGTCGGGAACAAGGACCCCTAATCTGCCTAACTCCTAAACCCTAAGCCCAAACTTCCTAGCTCCCTATAAACCCTAGAACTTCCTAAATCCTAAACCCTACACACTTCATCAGAGTTTTAGGGTAGGGAAGTAGGGTTTCGGGTTTCGGGGGTGGAGGTGTTTTGGCCTTAAGGCTTTGCCAAAACTCTGGCTCTCTCTTGGGGCTAATTATTAAAAAATCATCAGTCATCATTTCTCATCCTTACTGGGTTTTATGATAACAAGCATGTGAAATTGTATCCAACACGGACCCCAGAACTCCCCTAGTAGGAAAAAAAACATCCGGGGCCCAACGCCTATAAGAGGCTTATTTTTCTACATAATTTTGGGGGACCAGGTAGGCTCCAGGGTTACTGCTTTGGGATTTTCCTCGCACCCTACAAACAGGCTGATTTGTCTAGGACTTCTTCTCACGCCTTCATGACACTTTTTTTATTGAACGACTGTAAGGGTAAGAGGTTTTAGGGGACTCAGGTATAGGGTTTAGGTCTCAAGTTTAGGATTGGTGCTTCAGGATTTGAGTTTTGGAATTTTGGCATCGTTCTGCATGGGAGGGGCAGAGTCCAGAGGTCTTTCGTCGCACCCATAGGCCCCGAAGTAGTTCCTTTTTGGGATTACCTTATAGGATTCTAAATATAAATCATAAAAAGGAACTACTTAGGGGCGTATGGGTAATTACAGATTTGGGCGGCTTATGGGCTGGAGATCTTAGAAGTTGGGGGGTTGGATGCAGCCGTTTCGGCAGTAGTTGCCTTGACAAGCATCAAGGTGGCTCTTAAACCCTAAGCCCTAAGCCCTAAACCCTAACCCTAGCTACAACAGGGTGACCTGTCGGGGGTTCAGGGTAACGGCGTTGGGCTGTATGCCTGTTCTTCAGTTACTCACGCTGAACCGTGGCACGAAAACACGGTTCTATTACGATCAGCTTAAGTGCCTGCTGTGTCTCGTTTGCTAAACATTTCCTGGCTACAGCGTCCTAAGGCATAACGTAGGTTACCGAAAACAGTTCTGCAACCCGGGTTGTAAGCTCGGTCCTGGTAGTAAAGCATGTTCCTGCCACCTGCTGCTGCCTGCTACATGTTCCTGAAGCTCAAGCATGAAAACCATAATCTTAAACAGTGGTTCAGGATTTAGGTTTTAGGGGTTTAGGGGTTTAGGATTTAGGGTTTAGGGGTTTAGGGTATAGGGTTTAGGGGTTTAGGATTTAGGGAAAGTTTAGGGGGTTAGGGGTTTAGGGGTTGAGGGTTTAGGGCCGAACCCTAAAGCTTGGCCACGCGGCATCGAGTCATCACTTGCCACAGCCAAAGCGCGGACACCCGTGCGATGGCCACAGAGCCTTGGTCGAACACAAGGCTCCACCCATAGGCCCCCAAGGAGTTCCTTTTGGGATTACCTTATAGGGTTTAGGGTTTAGGGTCAAAGGCCTACCATAGGCCCCTAAGTAGTTCCTTTTTGGGGATTAGCTTATAGGATTCTAAATATAAACCCTAAGTAGTTCCTTTTTGGGATTGCCTTATAGGATTCTAGACATAAACCATAAAAAGGAACTACTTAGGGGCCTATGGGCAGTCTTAACTCGACGGTGCTTAGGGTTTCGGGTTCAGGAGGTTCTAGGCTTAAGGGTTTAGGGTTTAGGGGGCTTTTTGGGTTTAGGAGGTTGTGCTACGGTGCAGGATTTAGGGTCCAGGGCTGGGAGTTGCATGAAAGCTTGTCTCTCTAGAGTTGTCTTGGCGGGCTCTGCAAGGCTTTACATTATGCTTGCTCTTGTCGAATAACTAGGCCTGTCAGCAGGACTCTTAGGCTCGCCACCTAAACCTGAAACATTAAATCCTCAGACCTTCCAACCTTTAAATTCTGGTAGGACTCCGAAAACAAGTTAGGGCATATTCCTCAATCAAGGTATATTGGAAGGTCGGGGTCCCAAACACTAGACCCCCCAAAGGCTCCATGTACCCATATAGTATATACTTAGGCCTTAAAGGGGTTCCTCTATAGGTACTTTAGGGTCTAAGTATATACTATACGGGTACATGGAGCCTTTGGACCCATAACCCTGAACCCAATACACATGGTTGGAGTCTCTGCTTGAGTCCAAATATTATTAATAAGTATCCTTTGGTGTCGCTGTGCCTTTGTACGCGCCTGGCCATAACCTATGCTAGTTTGACGGCTCGGCACTGCAACAATCAAAACAAGTTAATGTAGTGGCCTTCAACTATAGAAAAAATAAGGAACCCCCCAACAAAAATCACCAACAAAAATAGTATAGGCAACTAAACAAGGCCCCATTATATTAATCAACAAAACGACTCAGATTTGAGGTCCGACCAGAAAGTTAGAGTGTGGTAGGCTTGGGTTGCGGGCCTGTCGTTGGATTCCAATGACCCGCTCATTGCTCGCAGTTTTTTTCGAAGGATTTAGGATGATTTAGGGTTTAGGGTCTAAGGGTTTAGGGTTCAGGGTTTAGGGTCTACAGGTTTAGGATGATTTAGGGATAGCGTCATCAAGCTTTAACTTCCTCGGGCGGGTCATCTTTTTGGCAACGATGGTCTATACTCGAAGCATTGCCAGACTCCTTCGGAAGTCCAACAGCACACAGAACCCCTAAGCGACATAATCCATATTTGCTATTCTGATTCTAGGTTCTAGTTTAGAACTTTTGCTTCTTGGAGCCATGGCCCTAAACGTCATAAACCCCTTACAAAACCCTGTGATATGCTTTAGATCCTTTAAGGGGTCTGGGTTGTCGCAAAAATAAATGACCGACCAAAGCCGGGGAAGCCCGGACCCCAGACCCCAAAACCCACAACACTTTTTCTAAGGTTCTTTATCTAGGTTCCTGAGTGACCCCTAAAACAATTCGGGTACCCTTTTTCCTGTTGTTCAGGTTGAATATGGGAACCATACAATTAAAGGGCAAAGGGATACTACTCAGGAACCTACTTATTTTAGGGCTTTTTCACTAGAGGCTTGCTTGGTTTATTCTATATCACTACTTTGGGTCGAGAGGGCTTCAGGCTGGGTGTCCGGACTCCAGAGATAAGGACGACTCCATCTGCAAGGACGCAGATGCGGGGTCCTGCACCGAGGGAGGAGTTCGACGGGTTCGGGTTTAAGTCCTAGCTCGTAGGCGCTTTTGTAGCAATAGTAAGCGCAATATTTCCACGAACCTCTTGGAGTTTTATTATAATGAAAGCAAAAACTATACCCTCAGAGCGCAAAAGAACGCAGCCCGAACGGCAAAACTTAAAGCCTCAAGCCTGAAGCCTTGAACAATGAGCAGGTGCCAGGTACGCCACATCAACACGAAAAATAGCAAAGAATCCAATATGCACCGGAGCACCTACCAAGAACACTTGCCCAAACCTCTCATACCCTAGGCCAGCCCTGAACCCTGAACCCCAAATCCCACAACTTTAGCCCTAAACCCTAAACTCCGAACCCACAGCTCCAAACCCGAAATATGCCTAAACCCCAAACTCGAACCTCCCAGCACAAAACACCAGGATTGGTATCACTGGGGTTGAGGTCGGCTCAATTTCCCAGCGCTTTCGGAGTTGTGCTTGCCACAGGATATATCTTCTGAGGCTTCGCGGTTTTGTGCGTTGGGGAGTACTGAATCTTCGCCCCTTCAACACCAAATCAAAAGCCATGAGCCCTTTAACGCAACATCCCGAAACGGGGAGCTGCCCCTCAACCCTACCCCACTTGCACACAAACCTTAAACATACAAAAAAGATATCCACAAACACAGACACACACACACACGCACAAAAGAAAAAAAAAACTTCGACCCAAGGCCAATACGAGAGGGGCCTTAATAATCAGAATAGGATTTTGGGGTGTATGGAACTATAATTTTAGTGAGGACAGGGGTTTTCAGAATAGTATTGTTAATACCTTACTTCGAGGGTCGGGGAGGTAGTCAGTAGTTGTTTTATACGATCTCACTCATAACTCTACTTATTGCCTACTTACGAACTCCTCCGACCCGACAAGATATGGGGACTAGGACCTCGTCGTCTTCCCTCTCCGCGATTTCCACCGCGGTGTCGAGAGCTTCCTGCTCAATGCAGCATGGGCAACGAGAGAAGAGGTACGAGCGCTTGCCGCACACGCAGAGACCATCATGGTC